TGCAATTGCGAGAGAGAAATGCCAAAACGCATATAAAAATATGTAAACAATGCAGAAAAATGTGTTAATTTTAATATTACATGGCCCAATTTTGCAGGAATCAATAAATATACAAAGATTGATTAATTAGGAACACGTAGCAATAATTTTGAACATGTAGCCCTTTAGATAAGTACGATTTTTAACACATGAAAAAATGGATGTATTAACAGTGTTTGCAATTTCATGTAGACCAAAAGGAAGGTGTGTAGCAAAGTGAATTTTTTGGACTTGCCATTTTAAAAAGCCATGCAGAGTGCATATTTATATTTGTGGACGGTAGCCAATCACCATGAACTCCACAGCTTTTATTTGATGACTTTTGTACCATTTCCGAGAGGATGCATGAGTGTGGCTTCTTTGGAAGCAAATATTCTATGTCAGTAAAACATAATTTAAGCTGAACCTTTAAATGTATAATAATTTGGGCACTGTTTTGTATTAGGTACGTAACAGCGCGGTAAGATGCCGCTTGAATTAGCGCCTGGCGACCTCAACCACTGGTGCATTATCTCATACCAGCACTAAAAGAATGAGGTACTAACAAAAATAAGTAGGTAGTGAATCTATTCATGTATCTATTTTGCTTTTGTATATATGGCATTGCCAGCAAACTAAACCAGCAACTGTCACATTCACCATGGAAATATACCTACTACAATTCACCAAGAAAAAGCCAACATAGTTCCATATAGAAGCTCATAGCTCACAAACATAGCACAAAGCTCGATTTGGTTTTTAATGCATGGCCTCGCCGGCAGAACTGCTTCCACTTTTTCGCCAGGTTTGCGTCCGTAGGAAACGAGAAAAAACTTATATCGCACGCTTTCCTTTTGTTTTCACGTTTACACTTTGCCACTGCACACTTCATTTTGCTTTTTAATGTCTCAATAATTGTTTAAAACCACGCAGAAATAATAACGCACATATATTAAAATTTTTATTTGGTTTTTTCGTATGCTCACAATCAACAATTGCACCAAGATGACGTCACGCACACAGCTCATTCTGTCAAAATCACAAAGAGTGGATTAGCGGTACCGCGATTGGCGCAATCTCTATTTCTCTCAGTCGTGGAACCTTGTATTATTGAATCATGGATACATACATACATATGATTAGTTTGTTGTGTCAACCACATACTGCACATGACTTCAAAGCGATGCTTTGCCTTTCGGTTATAAATGTGTACACACATACATATGTATGTATTTAGCATGTTCAATCAGTGATCGCTGCCCTCCAGTACTGCTGGAGTCAATCGCTACTTTTGAACCGCTACTGCACCGACTGCTAGGTAAGTAGCTACTCTATTAACCCGTGCACATGGTAGTGCTGAGTCGAACCAGTCGTAAGCAGAATAGCGAAAAACTACGACAGAGGGCGCCCATAAATCACACAAGGGACTACTTTAGTAACTCCCGGTAGTGCAGAGAGAGCCGATGGTGACTACCGCCTAGGACATTGCCTTGTAAAAGTAGTCGATGAAGTAGTCGGTCGGTAATTGACGGTGGTTATCAGGTAGCTACCGATTCAGCAGTCCTGTAGTCACTTCCCCGTACTGCAGGGTGTTTAGCTTAAATACGTTTATGTGTGTATGTATGTGGTATAGCGCAGTCACGTCGCTCATACACATCTCTTTTGCCCCTGTGGGCTCGTGTTTGATCGGCACTGATGTACAGATTTTTCGCGTAGCTATGCGCTGTATTTGGCAACCAAATAGGCTTATGCTTGTACGTCTTTGTAATTTTTTGTAACTTTACACCCAAAAAAAGGGTGCTTATCTTCCAAGAATAAAAAATATAAGTACGCCACTCTGCGCCTTTTTACAAATGCTTCGTTTAAAAAAAAAATATTAAAATCGGTTTAGTACTTTGAGAAATAAGTCGTTACAAACGTACTCCATATAATAAATTTTATATAATAGTATAGAGTATAGAAGTATAGATAAATATTTTATTAATGTTATTCTACAACTAGAAAAAGTGCCAGCAAATGGGACCAGGCCGGTGAAAACTTCGAAATATTTCCGATAAATATTAGAGAAGGCACCGATTCGTCGTCATTCGCATGGTAATTCGATCTGAATTACCTACAAATGAGGTAATTCGCTCTCAAAATTTTGTATGGCGAATTTCGTAATTCGAAAGGTAATTGGCAAGACGAATGACGAATGGGAGAGCGAATTAGGAATAAGAGAATTAATCGACCAGTCGACAGAGGAAGTAACCCAAATCCAATGGTCATATGGAAATCAATTGAAAATGAAATCTATCGGGCCCTGTCTCACGATCAATATGGATCGCGATCCAGTATCAAACTTTTGAACTGTGCAAGTCGTTTTTAAATAAGAAAAATGCAAGAAACTTCAAAAAAAGCGTGTTTAGCCATATTACTGGCATTTTCATTAAAAAAAAGAAACAAAGAGGAAGTATTGGAGTCGAAGATGGTACCTGGAGCGGCATAGGTACACTCATTTGAGATTATTGGATTCGATTCGACTTTGCAAGGAATTAAGCGACTACGAAAATTACTTTCGGATCTCCACTGAAAGTTTCGACCATATTCTTGAATTAATCAGCCCATATATAACTAAGCAAGATACAGTTATGAGAGCTGCAATTTCGCCAAAAGGAAAACTGGCGGTGACTTTGCATTATTTAGCAACAGGAAGGTATGTACCCAAATCTAATGATATTTGTTCACAACTTATTGTGATTATTTTACAGCTACTTTAAGCAGGTGCGGTATACAGCGATTATGTCGCGGCAAGCAATAAGCGAAGCGATCATGGATACATGTGAAGCTTTGATATACGCTCTTCGAAACTGCATTAAAGTAAGTGTACTAAATGATACACATGTACATATGGTATTTTGTTATAATTTATTCAGAAA